GAGACGTTTTTTTAAACATATTTCCCTTTACAATATTTTTGATGGTACAATTTTTAAATTAATTTCTATACTACACCGCAAAACAAGACAACCTAACAAACCCATAACCGGGGAGATAATCGCAGCTTGGACTGATTATATGAGATTATATGGATATGAACATATGAAAAAATTACAAAATTGTTATCTTTTATTTGTCTTATTCTTTCTCAAGTCAGGATTAATATAAGAAGAGAGAAATAATAAACGAACAATATAAGTAGAAATATCCGATCAGCTAGCTGAAGTGGCTATTGCCGGTCATACTTTGTAAAAAACGCAGAAAGTCGACGGATGCAGGTAGCTCGGGATCATTTTCTCTAGTATTTCGTCGGTTAGGCTATACTATGTTCAGCAGGACTAGTTTTGAAGTGGTGATGACTTTGATGAAATTTTAAAAAGAGAACTAAATAAGTCCAAAAAGTCGCTGAAAGTCGGTCATGCGTTCTATACAGTAACTTTCTTAAATTCAGAAATAAAAAATATTGTTTGCTTTATTTCTCACTATTATATTCACAAATAAATTTTAAATAAAATCCAAAAACCGATAACCAAAGATCGGGTCAAAGCTTATAAGTAACTCGGACGGACGTAGTTGGTGGAAACTTGGTTGCTTAAGTTAGGAAATACTTGAAAATTTGCTGACTCCTTTCTCAACAAAACCTTAATCGATAATTAAATTTGAGAACTCGGCGTCAATAAACTGAAAAGTGGCTTTTGGTATACCTAGCTTTCTAGATTAACTAAAAATGAGTTTCAATAAGAATTATGATGTATAGTTCATATTGAATAAAAATATTCTATTGTATTCTATTAAAATCTTTTATCGTTGGTTCAAAGCAACTTGAACTTAAATTAAAAACTAATAATTGCAAAACGTTTCGACTGTAATCGCCTAGAAGGTAGGCAGAGCCCAAAGAGTAGCGAGCTAATCAGATCACGCTTAGCCAAAATAATAAATATGCTAGGATCTGAGTGGTGGTGGCACTGTAGTCAAATAACATATTTATGGAGCAAAATGACTCATTTTCACATGATATACTATACATTATAATTCTTATTGAAACTGATTCTATTAATTTACCGCTGGTTTGGAACGTACTAGTTTCAACAGGAAACACGTGACAAACAGAGCCGTGGTAGCTCAGATGGTTAACGCTCGCTGTAAGTATCACAGTACGCGAGTAACTCGGGTTCGATACACGCCGACACCAATGAAATTATCAATTGAAATTTTAAGTGCTGATTTATCATGTGCTCGGCAGTGAAGGAAAATCCTGATGAAACCTGCATATCTGAGGAATAAGAAAAAAATATCTCGAAGACATATGAAGTTCGCCAACACTTCTGTCCTGGAAATGAACAGCAAGAAATTCAACTGAACATTTAAAAACGAAGGTTGACTTGAGCCGGGAATGACCACGCTCTCAAAGAATAGCAGTGTAAAGTAGCAGCTTAACGCTGCTATGTTTCGTATTTTGGATGTGGATAACCGGAGGCCCTTTTTACTGCAAATGAGACATTCTATCTTAGTTCTCATGGGTGAAAACGCATCTGCATTTTAATTCGTAATTGAGGATAGATGCTCCGAGAAACTGCCCAAATATCTGATATTATTATATTTTTTGTGTTAATATATACCTTTTTGGATATGACTTATTTGTTTGATTAATAACTTAAGAAGTTGCTACCAATTTGAATAATTAAGTAATGGTAGTTGAAACACTCGCTAGCAATTAATTACAACAAAAATAATGTACAAATAATATGCTCTTTAGCCATGTCTAAATTTAACCCGTTTTTATTTACATCCCTGAGTAAAGTAAGCCGTCAGATCCTTTATTAAATTATGTAAATACGGACTCTGAGAATTTGATACATTTACATGCTTTTGTAAATTGCCAGAGTTCGTTCTCTTACGTATTCTTTAGATTCGGGGTAATTTAAAAAAGACAGCCTATTAATCTATAAATTCTTATTACGAAGTTTTGTTTAATAGAACAAGGGTGACAAACGAGCACATAGTCCAGCCGATGGCAAGAGGGTGCTATGGCCCATATACATCCACATTCACATTTATTTTATCCTCATTTAAGAATAAAAACTCAGATGTGCCGTCCCCCCCGTCCCCCGAGGACTAAGATCGAATACCTCGCTCTCCATAAAAGGGTCTCCGGTTCTCTACATTCAACATACGACACACAGCATCATCAAGCTGCTATTTTACGTTTGGTATTGTATGTGATAGCATAGTCTCTCCACGGCTGAGCCGACCCATACGTTCCAAAAACGTAATACAGCCTGGCTTTACCACGTATATATGTATTACGAATGTGTTTTGTTATAATATGTAGTTATACGGATATATGTATTTTTTTTATTTATTTAGGACAACCAACAAGAAGTACACGAACACAATGTAAATACTACAAATTACAGGAAGGTTTATATCTAAGTGTCATCTTAATTAAAGGTTGCCACGGCATGCAGTGTGGACAACGAATATGTTTTTTTAAAAACTTACAACTATAAACTTAAAACTAGGTCTAAAAGTTAGTTAAAAGTAAAGGACTGCATAATTTTTCGTTTGAATTTTTGAGGCTTATCAGCAAAAATATCATAGTCACGTGTCTTGCAGAGCTGGTTATATTGCCTCTGTAACCTGTGTATGGTGGCGTGGTGACCCAAATTAGTTTTACTGCCTTCAACTGAAAAGGGTACGTATCGGATGACACGCACTAGCTTAAAAGGTACCTTGAAATTTATTGCACTTAATAGGTATGGACAGTCTACGATTCCATTGACGATTTTGTGTAGCAACATGAAATCCAGCAAAAGCCTCCGCTGTTGCAGGGTACTTAATTTAAAATACGTCAGTCGGTCTTCGTATGAAGATAGATCATTTATTTTGTAAGTTTGGTTCGAAAAATACCACAAAAACGCTTCTGGATACGCTCTATGCGTTTCACGTAAATATCATAAAATGGGGACCAGACCTGACTACTGTATTCGAGGCTGGAATGGACTAAAGACTTGTACAAGGATATTTTTGTAGAGGTTCTCTTAAATTCTTTAGAATTACGCAACACAAACCCCAACATTTGAAGACCCCTTGTAACAATTCCATCAACGTGCTTATGAAACCGCAACTTTTTGTCCAGAATCACACTCAGATCTCGAACAAAGTCCACTTCTTCCAAAGGATGACCATCAATATAATACCTAGGTGTCGGAACATTTATGCACCTTGAGAATCTTATAATTTTACATTTATCTAGGTTCAAAAATAGTCTGTTCTTAATGCACCACAAAGACATCCAGTCCAAATCCTTTTGCAATAGGAGTGAGTCACTGTGGTCTTTGATTTTCGAGGACAATTTCATGTCATCTGCGTACATAAAGCAGGTCGCGTGTTTATAAACAGACGCTAGGTCATTTATAAAAATATTGAAAAGGACCGGACAGAGATGCGAATCCTGAGGAATACCAGACGTAGGTAGAAATGGTTCTGAGGACCATTTACCACAACTCTCGATTTTCTCTGCCTGAGGTATGAAGAGAGCCATTCGAGAAGATTGCCAGTGATGCCCAAAATTGAGTGTTTGTAAAGTAAGATGTTATGATCTACAATGTCAAACGCCTTACTGAAGTCTATGTAGATGGTGTCCACAGACAAGCGGGAATCGAGAGACTTGAAGACATAATCCACAAACGAAATAAGATTTGTAGCTGTAGAACGAGATGTTAAAAAGCCCGATTGTTGGGGTGAGATTATTTGTTTTATGTGCCAAGTCAAAACAGGACATACTAATGATTCAAAAACTTTAGGGAAAACAGACAATATGGATATTGGTCTGTAATTTCTGACGGATCCTGCGTCTCTTGATTTATAAATTGGGACAATACGTGCCTATTTCCAGACCGAAGGGAAGGTACCTGGTTGCGCGGAAAACCATTCGCGTTTTTTATTTGACGGTAGGAACTTGTAGAATCATTATTCCTTTCCAAACAATATCATTCGTACCCTCCTATCGACACATCGGGGTGGTGGGGTGGGAGGGGAAAGAAGACGATTCTAGAACATCGCGTAATCACCCGAGCCGAGGATATATAAGACACGCGCGACCGATGCGCGAGCCTCTTCTCCCGCCGCAGTCGTCGTTGAACCAACTCTTCTCTCCTGACGCACCACTGGGGTGTCTGTCCAGAGGAGGTTCCGGAAGTCGCCGCTATAGTGATCGACAGGAAGAAGAAACCCCGGTGAGTCAATATTCCTTAATTATACCTGCTTGCTAATAGTTTAACCCGCTCCAATCTGTGTTTTTTTTCCTAGTCAAGCAGGATTCCTTTCATCGATTCGACAAGTAATAGTTTAGTTTAGGGAAGAGCGAGTGCATTGTACCGCATGCTATAGTAGTCGCCTTTACGTAAGCGTAGAAGCAATCGCATATACAGTCCACTTTAGTTAATATCTCGCGTAATAGGTTTGAGGTTTGACCGGGGAACTAGATTTTCGGCAGCCTTAAACACGTGGCTCCACCATTTTATGGTCACTTCGGCAGGATCTGGATTGGTGTTTAGTGGTTATCCAACCATTTTCTGGTCGAATTATTAAATTAATTGTTTAGATAACGCACTCTAATTTATAGAATAGACTTAAATAGTGTTCGTTTAAATTAAAATTTTGATTTGTTACTCGCAAACAGAATTATTCATTTAATAGCGCTCGTATTTGGTTAAATTTAAAGCTTATTAAATAATTGAAACGGCGTGATAGCAACCGTTTGATACGCTTACCCCACAATTTTATAAAATTATTAGGTTTAGCAAACGACGCGTAGCCTTGACTGCATCGGGCGCTCGATCTGATTACGTAATACGGCACGCCGAGTATTCATCCTACGTCGTTAATGCGTGTGAGATTAATTGTGATTAATATAACTTTATTATAATAATTTAAAATGGCAGTTAGTGGAAGTGAAATCAAAATTAAAACGCTTTATGCCAAGAGGGACATACTCTTTTCGCGTGTGCAGAATATAAGTGATTATATAAAGAACATTCATATAGAGGCAGTACGGGAGGCCTTTTTAAATGAAATCGAAACGATAGATAATTTGCGGACAGATTACGAAAGAATATTAGATCAAATTAATCATTCGGAACTACAAACCGACCCGAAATACATAGTGAACTACCAACCGCTGCTGGCATTCGAAGATATGTTGTGTCGCGTGAAGAGAACCGCAAAATTGCTACAATCTCAAGGTGAAGCGAAGCCTGAAATGCAGGTACGCCCTCGTGACTCAATTAGGTTACCGCCAATAGATATTCCGGTATTCAATGGTGATATTAAGACGTGGCCCTTCTTCTTCAGCAGTTTTCAAAACAATATACACAACAACCCATCGTTATCGGACGCTGAAAAATTATATTACTTAATTAGTAAACTTAGTGGCAGAGCACAGTCGATCTGCTCGGGTTTTACACCTACAGCAAACAATTACGTATTAATATTTGAAACGCTTAAAACTAAATATGAAGATAGGAGAATGTTAGCTTCCGAATATTTGAACCAGATATTCGATCTTAAACCTATATCATCCGCGAACATCAACGGCTTAGAGCAGTTTCTCGATAAATTTGTGGCATCGGTGGCTGCACTTAAGAATTTGAAGTTTAATGACCTCATGGACGTGGTGTTTCTCCATATAGCATTAAAGAAATTAGACTCCGACACCGTGCGTGCGTTTGAAATGGAGCATCGTAGCTCGGAGATGCCTTCCTTTCATTCATTAGCATCGTTCGTGCGAGATCAAATAAAGGTGATGCAGCGCTCACCGAACGTTAAACAGGAGATTAAAAGGTGCGTCGACCGTAGACAGACTCAACCATCTAAAACAGCAGGGTCGTTAACTTACGTAACCGCTACGCCGACATCACTCCAGCATACTTGTATAGTATGTAAAGATAAACACGGTAATTTATATAACTGTGCGACTTTTCGTAAATATTCACCAAGCGAACTTTATAAGTTAGTAAAAACAAACAACCTATGTTTGAACTGCTTAAGCGATAAGCATTTAGTTGCAAAATGCAATTCGAGTTCCGTATGTAGCAAGTGCGCCAGGAAACATCACACGCTATTACATTTTGAAAATAGCAACATAGCGGCGTCAAGTAAGGCGAATAAGGAATTCACCCCTACTAAGGTCAACGATTCTAGCGGTCGACCTGGTGATGTCGCTCTGTGCTCATTGGCAAATATGGGAGCACAACCTCCTTCAACCGTGTTACTGGGTACGGCGCGTATTTTGGTTAGGGATTCGCGTGGAAACAAACAAAGCGTCCGTGCACTGCTGGACAGCGGAGCCCAAAATAGCTTTATAACACGACAATGTTGTCAGCGCTTAGGCTTAGTAATAAATAGGTCACTTTCATGTCCTGTAGTTAAAGGCATCGGAGGTACTAGTAAAGCGACACAGGGATATATAAATTTAAAATTTTATTCTCGGATAGATCGTAACGTTAACTTTGATATAAATGCACTAGTAGTAGATAGGGTCACTGAACGGTTGCCAACCGTTTCGGTTGACACCTCGGCAATGATTGAATTTAAAAATTTGACTCTAGCAGACGACACTTACGCCGTTCCTGGAAACATAGACATGCTCATTGGGGCATCGCTTTTCCCTCATCTTTTGTTAAACAATAAGGTCAGGGGCAACTCCTCGCATACCGCGCCTTACGCACTGGAAACCGTATTGGGCTATGTGATCCTTGGCTCCGCCCCCATCCTAGATAGTATTTCGGCAGCCTCTTATTGTGGTATGGCTGTCGAACCGCTCGAGTCGTTAGTCCGCAAATTTTGGGAGATGGAGGAGGTGAACGTCCCACCCATAGCTAGTTCAGATGACAGGATATGCGAGGAAATTTACGTCCGCACGATCGTTCGTGATCGCGACGGTAGATATAGTGTAGCGCTACCCTTTAAGGGAGATGTTTTATCTCTCGGCGATTCGCGTCAAATGGCGGAAAAACGTTTCTACAGCTTGGAGCGTAGGATGCTCGCTTCGCCCCAGTTAAAGGAAGCTTACGACGGCGTCATTAACGAATATATAAGAGAAGGTTACATATCACTTGTGGCTTCGAAATTAGATAACTACGAAGACACACCGTCGTATTTTATACCACACCACGGAGTCATTAGAGAGGACAAACTTACATCTAAATTACGTGTAGTGCTCGACGCTAGTGCTAAAACTAGCACTCACCTGTCGCTTAACGATATCCTCTATAGTGGGCAAAATTTACAGGGCAGTTTATTTGATATAATAGTCAATTTTCGTTTGTTTAGTATAGCACTATCCGCCGATATTCGCCAAATGTTTCTTTGCATAGGGGTCCGTGAATGCGACCGTAGATTCCAGCGCATTTTATATCGTTTCCACCCAAAGGAACCTCTAATGGTGTTAGAATTTAACCGCGTTTGTTTTGGTTTAAAGTCGAGCCCATTTCATGCGTTACGCACGGTGAGACAGCTCGCTCACGATGAAGGTCCCTCTTATCCTAAAGCTAAGAGGGCAATTGAGAGCGGATTATATATGGATGATTTTGTGTATTCGGTCGATAGCGTGGAGGAGGCCACCCTAACCACCGCCGAGGTTATAAGGCTCATGAAATCGGGTCAATTCGATCTTGTGAAGTGGACTAGTAATTCGCGTCCGGTTTTAGATACAATCCCACTATCACACCGTCTTTCGGCGATAAAGGAATTCGACGATTCCGATACACACAAGGTGCTCGGTCTGTGTTGGTCACCAGAGTCCGACGTGTTTAGCCTTAAGGTAAATCCGCCCGTAGAGAAATGCACAAAGCGCACAATACTGTCATGCGTTGCTAGATTATGGGACGTCATGGGTTTCGTAGCTCCGGTGGTATTATACGCTAAGCTTTTGATTAAACAACTTTGGTTATTTGAATGCGATTGGGATGACTCGCCGCCTGACAGCATTGTTCGATTGTGGCAGCGCTTTAGAGAGGAACTTCCTTTACTAAGAGAAATTAAAATACCGCGTCATATAAATGTCGATAGAAATAGCAGCATAACGGTTGTTGGATTTGCAGACGCCAGCGAGAAGGCTTACGGGGGGCGTTGTATATTTCCATGTCCAGAATAATGGTAGAAATTCGATTAGCCTCATTAGTTTTAAGTCGAGAGTCTCCCCCCGTAAGGTTGTCTCTCTGGCGCGCTTAGAGCTTTGCGCAATATTAGTACTCACCAAGCTTATTACCACAGTTATCGGCGCATGTAGGGATAGAGTTCACATAGAAAGAATATTTGCCTTTTCCGACTCCACCGTCGCCTTATGTTGGGTTCATTCTTCACCCCACCGTTGGGATACGTTTGTCGCGAACCGAGTGGCCAAGATCCAAGACGAGTTAGAAACGCGGAACTTTTATCACGTGTCCGGTAAGGAAAACCCTGCCGATTGTCTATCCCGGGGACTCACCCCGATGCAAATAATGGACCACCCGCTTTGGTTCCATGGACCTTCTTGGGTTTACTTGGATCCCTCACAATGGCCAATAACCGATTTCGAACCTTCGTCAGTGTCACAACCGCCGGAAGAGAAGAGACACGCTCTAGTGGCGAACGTTTCGAGCGAGGTTTCTCCAATCATTGCTCTGGCGAACCGCTTGTCCTCTTGGTCGAAATTATTGCGTAGCGTAATTTACGTTTGTCGATTCGCGAAGCTTTTACCGCGACGTCCGTATGTCTTAGCATCCGATTACAACTATGCCGAGTCGCTAGTATTACGTGAACTTCAACGTGCGCACTTCTCTGAAGAAATTACAAGATTACAATCGAATAGAGCTTGTAGTCGCGCCTTTCAACGCCTTAAGCCATTTTTACAGGATGGGATTGTAAGGGTAGGTGGACGCTTGTCCAACTCGCAATTGAGTTTCGACCAACGGCACCCTATAGTTTTACCGCGTAAAGACCATATCATGAACTTATTAGTCGATTATCATCATAAATTGAACTCGCACGCTGGCCCCGATTTATTGATGTCGATCTTGCGTCAGAATTATTGGATTCTTTCTGCACGTAGTTTAATACGCAATCGGGTGCACAGATGTATAGCTTGCTTTCGGGCACGCCCCAAGCCGTCATTTCCGGAAATGGCGGAACTTAGATCTTGTAGAGTGATACAATCGGTAAAGCCCTTCACGCACACCGGGTCTGATTTTGCTGGTCCGTTTAAGGTCACGCTCACTCGCGGGCGTGGTATAAGATCCACAAAGGCTTACGTCTGCATTTTCGTATGTCTAACTACTCGAGCAGTGCATATAGAACTCGTTGGTGATCTAAGCACAGCAGGCTTTATGGGTGCATTTAAAAGATTTCTATCGCGCAGAGGCCCTGTAAGTAAATTATATTCGGATAACGGTACGAACTACGTCGGTGCAAAACGTATTCTATCGGAACTACACGAGCTCTTAGCTAGCAAGTATTATAATTCGGAGTTCGCTCACATTCTAGCCGAGAACCGCATTGAGTGGTCTCTGAACGTCCCAGCCGCGAGTCATTTTGGGGGCTATTGGGAGACTAATATTAAAAGTCTAAAGAGCCACTTATACCGAGTAATAGGAGATCAAATTTTGTCCTTCGAAGAGCTAAGTACGGTGCTCGCTCAAATTGAATGCGTAATGAATAGCCGCCCACTTTGTCGGACGTTATCTAGTGACCCCTCGGAACCGCTGGCTCTAACTCCAGCACATTTTTTGACTTTAACGCCTCTAAGGTATCTGCCCGCCGCGGATATGGATGAGAACAGACTTAGCATTTCCACACGCCACAAATTATTAGATCGGTTAGTGCAATCGTTTTGGAAACGATGGAGGATGGAATACTTGCATACTTTGCAGTCTCGGCAAAAATGGAACACAGCGACAGAGCCTTTAGCTGTAGGAACCGTAGTTGTGCTCACTAAGGAGAATACGCCGCCTCTCCACTGGCCGTTAGGAATCGTCGAGGAGGTCTTTCCCGGTTCCGACGGAGTAATTAGGATAGCTCGCGTTAAGACCACGGTTGGGTCTTACCTACGTCCTGTTATCCGTTTGTGCCCCTTGCCTCTTCCATAATTTAAATTAGCTTTCTAGATTGAAATTGTAGTTTAATTTAGGTAATCTTAGCGTTAGTTAGTTATTTGTTAGTCGATCTTAGCTCTAGCTGTTTAGTTATTTTTTTTGAAGGAAATCCTTCAAGGGCGGGGGAGATGGTTGCGCGGAAAACCATTCGCGTTTTTTATTTGACGGTAGGAACTTGTAGAATCATTATTCCTTTCCAAACAATATCATTCGTACCCTCCTATCGACACATCGGGGTGGTGGGGTGGGAGGGGAAAGAAGACGATTCTAGAACATCGCGTAATCACCCGAGCCGAGGATATATAAGACACGCGCGACCGATGCGCGAGCCTCTTCTCCCGCCGCAGTCGTCGTTGAACCAACTCTTCTCTCCTGACGCACCACTGGGGTGTCTGTCCAGAGGAGGTTCCGGAAGTCGCCGCTATAGTGATCGACAGGAAGAAGAAACCCCGGTGAGTCAATATTCCTTAATTATACCTGCTTGCTAATAGTTTAACCCGCTCCAATCTGTGTTTTTTTTCCTAGTCAAGCAGGATTCCTTTCATCGATTCGACAAGTAATAGTTTAGTTTAGGGAAGAGCGAGTGCATTGTACCGCATGCTATAGTAGTCGCCTTTACGTAAGCGTAGAAGCAATCGCATATACAGTCCACTTTAGTTAATATCTCGCGTAATAGGTTTGAGGTTTGACCGGGGAACTAGATTTTCGGCAGCCTTAAACACGTGGCTCCACCAGTACCCGTTTTTAAAAACATATTGAAAATGGTTTTTAAAGGCAAGGATAACGCTTCGCGGCAGTTGATTACAAACAAAGGGGGGTATGTTATCAGGTCCAGCTCCCTTGGCCCGATCTAGACCAGTAAGAGTTTTGAGTACTTGATCTTGTAAGAAGTGCAGATTAGCAAGATTATTTATATATATATATATATATATATATATATATATATATATATATATATATATATATATATATATATATATATATATATGTATTTCCTTGTTTTCAAATTTATTTCTCTTGTATCCTTAAAACCAAAAATACGAACAGAAAAACCATTTAGAAAAAGTTGCATTCCTAATCCTCAATTACGAATTAAAATGCAGATGCGTTTTCACCCATGAGGCTTAAGATGGACTGTCTCATTTCCAGTAAAAATGGTATCCGATTCTTTACACTCAAAATATGAAACATAACAGCGTATATTTACGCGAACACTACACATTGATTAACGCGATAAAATCCGTAAAAGTAGTTTTAAACACTTACTGTTTATTTCTAGGTTAAAGGTAATTTTCGAACTTGTGGCAAATTGAACATAAGAATAAGTTTCAATAAATATTTTTATATTCTTTATTGAATAGAAATGTTTCTTTCACCATCATTATTCATCTCTTACCAGGTCGTCACTCTATCTAGTGGGTCACCATTGTATACTCCGTGTAGTAGCCTGATACTAGTAATACGAGACTGCCACTGAAGGATCCTTTCAGTCTCTCAAGCTATATGGCCGGCCAATTGCTACATCAGTTTACTGATCTATTGGGCTATGTCGGTTACTCTGATTCCACTGCGGATATCCTTATATGAGGTCTATTATTTAAGAATTGATAAATTAACTGCATAAATACTCTTAAAGAATTTTTAGATAAAGCTTTTTATAAAGATTATTATTAATATACATCTGAAAATTGTAGGGAAACTCATATATTTAGAGCATTGTTTGTGAGTTGTCTCTTTATTAGGACACAGCGAAAATAGTATAGAAGTAGTAAAGTATTTTACGCTGAAGTCCTGTGAAAGTGTGGTCCTTCCTCGTGTTTTTTAAGCTGATTCATTCGTGTCGCACCCATGATAACCTACAGGTTTAGTTCTATCATGCAATCTATGTGCAAAGACGTCATCAATTTTTTAACTTGTACATCCAAAGTGAAGTTGTAAAGTTACAAGCCTATAACATACATCGCATCTGTCACTTTACCTTAATGCGTATTGGTGAATTCACATGTCTTTAAAATGTTATCTTCTTGTTGAAATATTTCTTAGACGTGCATTATTGTCTCATATTGTTTTCCTTCACTGCCGAACACGTGGTAAATGATCCCTTAAAATTGCAATAAAAAATTCATTTAAGCCGACGGGAATGGAACCCGGGTATCTTGAGTACTGTGAAATTAACTGCGCATGCAGTCCGTAAGCCACCTCGGTTCAACATCAAAAGTACACCCAAAACTGTAAAACATGTTCTTTAAGCATTTCGTACTACTAACCTATGTTTATAATAGTGCGAAATATAATTTTATTTGGTGCGTATTTAACTCATAAACAAAGATTTAATCTTCAACAAACTTTTTGACTTTCAAAAAAGGTATTTTAACACAACAGCCGACAAATTTTACAAACTTCATCTATGTCGTTATCAAGCGGAGATCTCACAAATTGCCGTCTACACTTTAGACCTCTGTGTACAACTTTAATTAACTTAAGAAAGTTCTGGAGGCAGCAGGTTCTGAAAAGTTTTACGAATGAATTCTTTGTGACTTTGGTTCTTTATTTGTAAGTTCTGTGCAATTAAAAATATATCAATATAAATATTCAGTGACAGAAAACATATCCTTTAATTAAGTTATCATGGCCTTAGAGTAAAAACTTTCAGAAATGAGGGGAGGCTTGTGCTCAGCTGTGGGACGTATAAAAGCAGTAACTTTACCTTAATTATGTGGGCGGTGACGCAGTCAGAAAACGCACCACCCTATTCATCTCGTAGGAAACTATGTGAAATCCCATTAAGCTTTCGACGCTTCCGTATAATCTTCCAGTTTACGTAGGACGTAAATACTTAGAATAATGATGAGAGGCAGCATCAAGTTGCGAGACGTCTGATAATTTTGTCGCCAATGAAGTGATTATGGCAGGTCTTTCCTTTCCAAAGGACGAATCTTTCGGTTTCGTAGCGCGGTGCTTAGCAGTTCAGAAGGAAGGACCACGAATTCGAATCCCACACGGAGCAAGTATTTGTATGACCTAT